CATGCTCATCACTGGATGGGGTGGAAACCGTCCAGTTAGAAGGGGCCATATGGGATCTAACCTCAAAATCTCTCCAAAACCCCCTTTCAGGCCCAGAGCAGACTCAGGAATAAGTCAAGGTCATATGTGAAGCTTTCGCAAAGGAGAGAGGAGGCCACTGTGTGGAAACTAAGATTCCTATCCTTTCCCTTGCCGACTTTTGATGGGCAGTCTGTCTGGGAAAGTTGGCATGAAGGCCAACCCTCTGGTGAAACTAGGAGCTTTTTGTGTTCCAGAACTATCACTCCTCCCCTTTTCTTGGGTAGTAAATAACTCTAGTCTTGGAAAAACAAGCCCTGGTGCCACGTTCATGATGGCTCTGGGAGGGGCAGAGCTTGGATGTGTGAGTGCAGAACTCGGAGCTTGGAGCCTAGTTGGACCCTCCGGACTCCGATTTCCTCACTGCAAAGACTGGTGGTGACTGTGGCCATGGGAGAGTGACCTAGGCCCTGAGAGTGACCAAGGAAAGGATCATATGTTTTAGAGTGAATTGGTGGTGCTCCACTGAACCCCCAGTGCAGGGAGATGCACCCCACAGTTGCTGGGAGTGTTGATGCTAAAGACTCACAGCTGTTTCCTTCTGGGACCAGGCCTTAACCAGAGAGGAACTATTACCCAACCCACGGGGTTTGCTACTGGGATGTTCTATTCAAATGCAAGACGTGGTTGTCTGTCTTTAAGTAGTTCTGTGTAGACTACCTAAAGGAGACAGGATTCACATCCAAAGCTCTGTCTCCCTGAAGGAAACCTTAGCCATTGCTTATATGCACTATTTGGTTAGTTAACATGTTGATTTCTTCTTCGCAATTGGCTAAACTTATTCTGTTGGGTTACGTCAAGCTCATCCTCTGCAAAATATTACTATATTTAACATTAAACAAGAAGAGAGTTTAGTGAGAACCGCCCAAACCTTGAGACCCTTGCCCTGACAAAACCGCATCGCCTCAGGTTACTCCTACTTTCAGGGGATGGCTGAGGCAGGGAATGGATTAAAAGTGCCCACCCCTTCCCTCCCTCATTTCGGGACACTGGCTGGGAGCTTCTTAAAGTATCAGGTGAGGCTTCAGTCACACCTGCGTTGGTGCGTCAGCTCCCGCTGCTCCTCAGCCCTGAGGTGCGCACTCCCTCTTGCGCGGACCTCCTGAGCTGAGCGCTTGCTCAGTAAACCACTTTCATCCATCACAGGGACCCACACCAGGCGACATTCTGGTCATGGCCTCTGTGCCCTTTGAGGTCAACTTTAAGATGAATGGTATTAACATCACCGTGGAAAAATGATTCGTTTTGTAGTTCAGAGGAAAAAAAAAAATTTTCAGGTGTAAATCTCCGGCATTTATTTCCCTTCTAACAGCACTGGCCTTTCTAAGGAGGCCTGGAGAGGACCAATGGGGATACCAGGGACAAAGCTATAGCAACTCTAGACATTTGCACCTGAAGTAGCTTGAGAGACAGACTGCAAAGGGATTCCAAAGACCATAACATTGGCCTGCTAAGGAGAGTTGCTGGGGGAAGACCCTATAAGATTAGCAGAGACACTAAGCGAAAATTGGAAGAGGGGCAGAAAAGAGGAGGCAGAGAACTTTCTTTAGAGATGAGAGATTTTTGTTTAATTTCCTGGATTAGTCACTTTTAATGGTTTAAGAAAAACCCCACATTGTTAATTTACTGCCAGAGCCTTTGTAATTTGAGAGCTAAGGGCCTTCCAGGGAGCAGAGGACGGCTACAGACTTGTGCAAAGAGTTAAATCTCATCATGCGAACATGCTATGGGAGGCCCCACCTGTGTGTACAATGTGCTTAAAGGATTAGAGCAAACTTTGAAATTATGATATGTTTTACCTCGAGGAAGTACCTTATTCCTTAAGCTTCCATTTCCTTGAAGGAGGGGGCATGAAATCCATCAATTCTCTCAGGTAATCAGGTGCATGAGACGCTCTGCTGGTGGGATTTAATGAAGTTAGTTTAAGTGCAGGTGGATGAAGGATGTATTATTTATATATTTTATGTTAAACCTATTTTCAATACTGGTGATTTTGATTCAAAGAGGTCTATCTTCCCTGAGTGAGAGTCATGTTTTCGGGGAGATGCAGATGCCAGGGGTCCAGAGGAGCAGTTGAAGAGTGAGGGGCTAGTGGGAGATGAAAAGGGGGTTTTAAAAGAAGAATTACTGTCGTCTACGTGTTCCTGTCAGATCTTCAAGATATGTAAGTAAATACCCGATGTTCTCTATTTAAACAAAAGGTGTTGTTGGGCTGGAACAGGTGATTATTAAACCACAGGCAGAAATTTCTTTCCCCTTCACATGATTTACCAGGAAGAGGCCAGTGCCTTTATGAAACAATGCCTGCTTCGCCTAAGCTGCTGCTTTATTTGTTCTCCATACATTTGTCAGGCAGGATGAGGGTGGGAGAACATGGTAATGAGAACTATGTAAGCTCAATGACATGCGGTCTTTAGGAAACAGAAAACCACACACAGATATGTCTAATAAAGACACAGTCCTTTATTTTAAAAACACTCATGTTGCAAAAAAATACAAAAATAAAGTTTGGTTGGGATACTTTATTAAACTTCAAGTCACAGGACTTGACATGTTGTGGATTAGAGCAGTTTGTTATGCATGTGGCGGACCCAAACTGATTTATTACACAGGAGAGAAAACAGGCCGTCTGGGTGAAGCGATCTGGGGCCTCTCCAGTTCGCCCATCAGATACCAACATACTAGCTCTTCAAATGTTATTCTACCAGTTCAGATATCGCAGAGTGACTAGTTCCAATGGGGGAAAGGCAAGATCTATTCACAATCCAAATAATTTTAAACAAAGCCTTTTTTTTTTTCTTTTTGCAACACAGTAGATGTCACAGTGAAATGTTTAATACTTGCAGAATTGCAGGTTGAAAGAATTCAGTTTGGAAGGTGGGGAGAGGACACGCACCGAGCAGAGAATGCACACTGAACGCTTATCCTACAAGATGTGAACAGAACACAGGTTAGGGCTCGCTGCTCTCTGTGCTCCCTGCTACTGTCAGCAGCACGTGGCGTTTTACAATATCTCAATGAAGAGTCTGAACGACAGACATGGGGGGTGAAATGGGCCGACTTTATATCAACTTTGGCAGTTTTGCCACCAAGAGTAAATTGGCCCTTTTAATAGGAGGAAATTGAAAGGTTTCTCACTAAAGAGAATTAAGTGGTGGGATCAAGAGATTTCCAGGCCTCCGGGTACCTCATTAGTGACTGGCTTTCTTAATTCTGTCTCCCCTCCACCAGGTCATCTGAGATAATAGAATGAAAACAGAAAAGTGGCCACATTTATCCTTTGCCCTCTTCTTGTTCTCTCTGAAGTCATGAGGTGACTCATTTTAGGGACCCATTTTTTAGGGGCATTAAACACAGTTCCCAAAGCATTTGGAAAATTGTTGTTTGTTTTGTGATAGAAGTCACAATAATGTTGTATTTTGAAAACTGTTTCTTTTTCTTCGCCTCTTTCTGCAAAACGCTCTCAGGCCTGTCAGTCAGCTTGATCAGGGACTGGGCTCTCTAAGGCTCAGGCCACCTTCTCTTCCACACCCTGCCCACGAGCCCTCAATTTCCACGGACAGCTCAGTGGTACCAACCCTGCATTTTGCACTGTTTTCCCTTGTGTGATGCCATTCTTCTTATCTCCTCTGCCTGCAGGGATTGCAGAGGGTTGTCAGACTTTGAACTGTAACAACAGCCACCAGAAAGTCCTATAAAAGCAACAGTGACCTTCTGGAGCTGTCAAATCTTTAAATAGGATTTGGGATTTAATGCTGTATATTTTTAAAAGGAAAAAAAAATAAGAATAGTTAGATACCCCAAAAATGCATGTCTTTTAGCCAATTTAGAATCTGCCCTTCCCCCCTGTTTAACCTAGGAAAGATAAAGTTTTGAGAGAAAAGAAAAGAAAAAAGAAAAACTAGACCAGATCTCAGGCTAAATAAGGAAGGCGTATGTTAGGTGCAGCCATACTAAAAGTGTGCATTGAAAAGAAGCCATTCAGCGGGTGACTGCTGTGGGAAAGGGACAAAATATTTAAGAAGGAAGGTGTGTAAAGAATGATGTGACCTGTCATGATGTGGTGTGCAACACAGCCCGAAAAGTCCAGGAAACTTCTCATTCTAAACTCTCGGGCCCAGGGCAAGAAATCCAGGAGAGGTTTTTTTTTGTTTGTTTGTTTTTTTTTACCTTTTGCCAATAAAATTGCAATGCCCCAACCAGCAGTGTGGAGACTTTTCCTTGGACACATGGAGAGTCTTCTGGCCTACAGTAGTGTTCTGTTTATACTTGGGCCACCCTACAAATACTGGCGTCATCTTTAAAAAGGAATAAGAAAAGCTTATATATATTTTCTCCTCCTACCTATCTCCATAGCTCAAGCCAATGTGCACCGAGTATGACAGGTTTCTCAGTGAGATCCTCTATTTCCCTCTCTCTTACAGGGACAAGAGAAACCTTGGTCATATTCCAAGGCCAGTGAGGCTTTTGAATTTAAGTATAATTCTGTAGGTGACATCCTCATCTTGGCTGTCTTTTCTCCCTCTGGTTTGCTTTTTCAGAGTCAATGCTCAGTTACATCAGAGAACAGAGTTACAGGAAGGAAATCCTCAGAAGTAATGTGGACAGCACATACACAGTCACACACAGCGCTGGAAACAGCACGTGACTCTGCCCCTCCCCACTTCAAACAGGTCTCTAAAAGCAAAAATGACCTACATTATGTGTTGGGGGAACTATTTGGATACTAAGTTATTCACTGGCCCAGATCTTTCATTGGGCCACCAGTGAAAAATCTGGAATTTCCATGCAAACCTCCCACAGTTTAGGTCTGCATGCCTCTTGTTTCTGAGTCCGCCCTGACCCTGGCCCCTTTTGCCTTGTGGAAAGACAGCCTGGGGAAGGCGGTTTCTGATCACGCATGTTTGTTTCCTGAGCTGGCATTACCAGAAAACTGGGCTCCAGCCTCCCAAGCAGTACAGGTAGGGGTAGTGAGGATAGGTGCTGTACATGGAGATGAGGGAAGCCCGGGAGAAGCCCTCATCTTTCAGGGCTGGCAAGGAGGAGTGCTTCTCCAGGCTGCCCAGGTCCGAGGTGAGCTGCTTTCGCTTGGTCTTATAACGTCTGTTCTGGAACCATATTTTCACTTGGGTCTCAGTGAGCTTGAGGTTCTTGGCCAGGTGAGCTCTTTCAGGGGCTGACAGGTACTTCTGGTGGCTGAACTTCCTCTCTAACTCGATGACCTGAGAGTGGGAGAAGGCGGCTCGAGAGCGCTTCTGCGGCTGCTTGGGGGTTTGGGGAAGGCTTGGCGAAGTGCCTGAAGTGTTTTCACAGTCCAACAGATAAGTCTCCAAGTGCCTATCTGGAAACAAGAGGGAAGAAAAAGGGATGGGAAGGAAAAAGTTACATGTTAGCAGGGAAGAGGACAGAATTCAATCCACCCTTATCTCTTTAGTGAGTGAACAAACAGCCCACTGTCATCTTGGATACATTTCACTTTTTTCACATGACTAAGGAGCTCTCTGGAGTGGGGAATGAATGAATATGTATACTATGTGTTAGTTTTCTAATAGCCATCAAGAACCCAAAGTAAGAGGTGGTTAGTGGCAGAACTTCCTGCCACATCGTCCAGCAGAATTAGGTAGGGACTCTGGATATGTATACTGAAGAGGGTGGGAGAAAGGAGGCAGGGAAGGACCCCAAAGGCATTCCGTGTTACTCTCCAGAGGACAAGAGAGGACTTGTGTAACAATAGAGGCTGTGAGGACTAAAGGCAAGCACCCTTTCTGGCTTTAACCACCCCCCCCCTTTTTTTTTTCTAAATGAGGCATTAGGATACCTCATAAGGAGTGATGGGAAAGAAAATAAGTCTACTTTAAATGTTCCAACGGTGTTGTTTATTCTGAAGACCAGAGGGAACTCCCAAAAGTACTGTTTTACTGTCCCTGTGATTGGAAAGCAAAGGGGAAGGGGGTCTTTGCTGAGCAAATTCTAATTTATTCATATTAAGTGACTATCAGTTATTTGTGATCCATTAGTTATTGTAACTGCCAAGAGGTAACGCGGGGCTGGCACTGATCAAAAGTTGCGGGGTTGATGGGAGCCGGGGTCGGGTCGGGGTTTCATCTGGGACTGGGGGGGACTGTGGGCGCTGCGTGCGCTCTGGATTTTGAGCCGGAGGCTCCGGGAGCCCACGGAGCTTGGAGCATCATGAGGGCGAGTCAGGCCAATGTCTACATTCAGAGCCGCCTGGACGCTGGAGCTCAGGGTTGGTCTCTGAAGCGCACTCGCGGCAGGAGGCAGTGAGGTCCCTTCTCCTGTCGCCACGAGCCCCGGATCGGGCAGCAGCCTCCCGGGAGCTCGGGGAGGTGCGCCTTGGACCCGACCTCGCGCCCACACAGCCTGCAGGCCAGTTAGCCCTCTTCGGGACCCCACCCGGCCCAGCCCGGCCTCCCGGGCCTCGCGGGTTTACCTGGCTCGGTCTCCGCGGGCGACTCGGCCTCCTCGGGCGCAGCGCCAGGCCGAGGACTCAGCTGGTCCTCCTGCGCGCCCGCACCGCCTCTTCCCTCTTGGGGCCCCGGCTCAAGGTGCCGCTTCGCCGCCTGCTGGTGCGGGGGCAGAGGCGGGGGCCCGGGCTGCGTACTGCCGGTGTGGCCGCCGCGCCGCTCCGTGCCGTCCCGCAGGATGTCCTGGATGAGGAAGGAGGTGAGCGGCTTGGCCTGGGTGGCCACTCCCGCCTTCCCCGGCTGCGGCTCCGGAGCCCTGAGCATCCCGTCGATTCGGCGAGTCGGCTCCGACATCCGAGCTGGGGACCCCGGCGGCTGCACCCTCGGCAGCCGCCCCACTTTCACTTTCCGCTGCCCGCGCGCGCTTATAACCCTGGGGTGCGCGCCGCGCCGCCTTCCCATTGGCCACGGGAACCTGGACCGCGCCGCCGATTGGTCGCCCGGTGCTCCAGGTGAGGGGGTGGAAAAGGGGAGTCCTTCGAACCGCCTCGGTCCCTTCTGCCCTAGAGGATTCTTTCCAGATTCCGTCTTCTTCCCTTCTCTAGCTGGCCTCCTTCTCCGGACGTCGTTGTCCGGGGCTGGGAGCGAAAACCAATGCGTGTCTCCTCTACCCCAACCCACAATAGAATGTTTAAACGCTTCTGGAGAAAAATGATACAGAAGAGGAATACTCCATTTGATTCTTGTAGATTGTTAACGCGTCTATACTCATGAAGAGATAGGTGGGGCAAGTGCCACCGCCTCAGTTTACAGGCGAGAATTCTGGGTGCCCCGTGACAAGGAGAGATTGGTAGCAAAGCTTCATCCTCTATGGCTCTCAAAGAGACGTGACAACTAAGTGCAGTTCCTGACCACGGGCTGGATTCTGTGCTGCAAAATACTGGGGCCGCTGATATAAGTGGAATAGGAATAATGGGTTAAAATATTGAATCGATGTTAAATTTACTGAAGTTGATAACACTACTGTGATTGTATAAACGAATATTCTTAGGAAATGAACACTTACGTGTGTGGGGTCAGAGGCCCACGTTGTATGCTACTTACCCTCAAATGGTTCAGAAACAGTGATGGCAAATGGATCCATCCTATATGATAAAGTGAATGGGTTTAAATATTAACAATTGGTGAATCTGGTATTCAGGTGTTCTTCGGACCTATTTTTATTTATGCAACATTTCTGTAGTCCTAGTCTAAAGCACCTTGCATTCCACTGTAAAAAAAAACTTAAAAAAAAAAAAAAGCCTCACCCAAGGACACCTTTGCATTCATCTTCAGATACAGCAAGAGGGAGAGAGGAAGGAAGAGAGAGAGAGAGAGAGAAACATCAATGTGAGAGAGACACGTTGATTGGTTGCCTCCTGTATGACTCTGTCGCCCCCGCCACACACACACCCTTCTCCTAATCCCACACCCACCCTCACAACATTGTTGTCTATGTCCATTGGTTATGCATATATGCATATAAGTTCTTTGGTTTATTTCATCCATCCCCCCTACCCCCTCCTCTGAGGTTTGTCAGTTTGAACCCTACTCCTTTCCATGTCTCTGGGTCTGTTTTATTCATCAGCTTATTTTGTTCATTATATTCCACAAATAAGAGAGATCATGTGGCATTTGTCTTTCTCTGATTGGCTTATTTCACTTAGCATAATACTCTCCATGTCCCTTCATGTCATCTCAAAGGATACGAGGTCTTTCTTTCTTACGGTTGCATAGTATTCCATTGTGTATATGTGCCACAGCTTTTTTATCCACTCGTCTATTGATGGACACTTGGGCTGATTCCAGATCTTAGCAATTGTAAATAGTGCTGCTATGAACATAGGGGCACATATATTCTTTCTGATTGGTGTTTCAGGCTTCTTAGGCTGTATTCCTAGAAGTGGGATCACTGGGTCAAATGACAATTCAATTTTTAATTTTTTAAGGAAACACCATATTGTTAAATCACTTTAAAACCTGCATTCATTTATGTATGTGCAACTGTATAGAATTTTATCACATGTACAGATTCTTGTAATGCACAGTCAAGATACAGAATTGTCCCATCAGCACAGAACACCCTCTGCTATCTCTGTAGTTATGTACCCAAGCTCCTTCTCTCAACCTGTGACCAGGCAACCACTGATCTGTTCTCCATCTCTAGAGTTTTACCATTTAGAGACTGTTATATACATGGAATAAAACATCGTACAATATGTAACCCTTTGGAATTTGCTTTTATCACTAAGCAAAATGTCCCTGAAGTTCACACAGATTGCTGCACATATTAATGACTAATACTTTTTATTGCTGAATGGCATTATTTTGTTGTATGGATCTACCAGAGTTTGTTCAATTTTCTCCCCAATGTTTCTAGTTGTTTTGCTATTATGAATGAAAGTGCTATGAACATTTATGTACAGGTTTTTCTGTGAACATGAGTTTTTATTTTTCTATGATAAATATCCAAGGGTACAATTGTTGGGTCTTATGGTAACTGCATGTTTATTAAATTTCCACCAGCAATATATCAGAATTTCAGTTTCTCTACATTGGTATTTGATGTTATCATTATTTTTTATTTTAGCCATTCTAATAGGTATGTAGTGATATCTCATTGTGGTTGAAATTTTTAATTTGCATTTCCCAAATGCCTAATGATATTGAATATATTTTCATGTGCTTCTTTGCCATCCATATCTCCTCATTGGTGAAATATCTGTTCAACTGTATTGCCATGTTATAATTAGATTTCTTGGATTTCTAAGATTCTGTGTTGAGGGTTTTGTTTTTTAATTTAGATTGGTTTGAGAGAGGGGAAGGGAGAGGGAAAGAGAGATTTGTTGTTCCACTTATTTATGCATTTATTGGTTGCCTCTTGTATGCACCCTGACTGGGGATCGTGCCCACAACTTTGGTGTATCTGGTCAATGCTCTAACTAACTGAGCTACCCAGCTAGGGCTTTTGTTGAGGTTTGATAGTTTTCCTTTTATTTATTTGTTTTTAATCCTCACCTGAGGACATTTTTCCATTTTTCGTTCAGATAGAGTGGGAGGGAGAGAGAGGAGGAGAGAGAGAGAGAGACATCAATGTGAAGGGACACATCGAGTGGCTGCCACCCACACGACCAACCAGGACCGGGGACAAACTGCAACCGAGGTACGTACCCTTAGCGGGAACCGAACCTGGGTCTCTCTGTACCGCAGGCCGACGCTCCAACCGCTGAACCAAATCAGCCAGGGCAAATTTGATAGTTTTTATATATTCTACATGTAAGCCTTTGTTGAATATGTGGTATGCAAATATTTTCTCCTAGTCTGCCCTTGTCTATTTTTTTTTTTAAATCTTTTAAACAGGATATTTCATAATACAGAAGTTTTTACTTTTGGTGGAGTCCAATTTAGTAATGTTTTATTTTACAGTTTTCCCTGGTGTCTTGTCTGAGAACTCTTCACTTATCTCTAAGTACTGAAGATGCTCTCCTGTTTTATATTTTAGATGCTCTAAAATATTTATATTTTACTTTTAAATCCATGATTTATTTTGAATTACTTTTTGTATATGATATGAGATTTAAATTGAGGTGGCCTCTTTTATTTTTAAAATTTAGAGCTAGGTGACATTTCAAATCAGTGGGGAAAATTATTTGAATGTGAATTATTTAATAACTAGTATTGCCATTTGGAAAAAAATAAAGTTCTATTCTTATAACAAAATAAATCCCAGATGGCCCCAAAATTTAAAACATAAACAGACACATGAAAACAAAAGTTTACCCACACTCATCATTAGAGAAATGCAAATCAAAACCACATTGATTTCCCACCTCTCAGATTGGCAGAGGTTGAAAAGATGGATAATATTTAGCATTGGTGGGTATGGAGGAACAGTCATTCCCATACAAATTTGGAGGGAGAGTAAATAAGCTGGGTATATTTGGATGATGTCAAAATCTGTCAAAATTAAAATTGGGCATATCTTTTGACACAAATAATCCATGCTTAGACATTTACCCTAGAAATATACAAATACACATTATACTGACTTGGTAAAATATCCTCAGTTTCAAGATTGCAAGAAAAGTTACAGAATGAGCCTATTATGTAAAAAAAAAAAGTTAAGTTATTAATGTAATATTTTGCATTTGAGCATTTTAACATATAGAATATATCTGGGAGGATATACATATGTCAATGGAGCAGTTACCTCTGATCAGTGAGATGGTGGAGACAGAAGATTGGAAGAAGGAAAAGATGAGTGCAGAACAGGCCATTTTCTTGTACTAATCATCATTTTAGAAAATAAAAATGTAAAGCTGGGACTGAGCTCGGGCTCCCCTCTCCACCACCACCTCCTCAGAGCCCAGCTGCGCCTTCAGAACACCAATAACCCTTCCCTTCCCCTCGCTTCATATGTCTTTCCTTTTGTGTTTTGTATTTTGTGTCTATGTGGATGGTCCTCTTCTTTATTAGCCTGTGAGCTCCCTAAGCAGCTCTTTGTCATTCTGACATTTATATCTCCCCTAATACCCAACTTCATTTTTGGCGCATGGAAAACACTCACTAAATGTTTGTGGGGACCATAGGGTCAAGGCAGATCCCAGAGTAAGGTCTATGTTCTATCCTCTGCCATGTGTCTGCAGCTTAAACTGGGGAAATGATCAAGGGCAATCAAGAAGACACAAAGGGGCTATATGGGCCTCTTCAGAGGGAATAGAATTCTAGAGGAATATTGGCCCCACCCCAAAGGATGCCACCTCCAAGCCCTGTAACTTGTGAATGAATGTACTCTACAAAAGCAAGGGGGAGTTAAAATTGCAGATGAAATTAAAGTGGTGAATCAACTGACCTTGAGATGAGAAGATTGTTCAGGATTATCCAGGTGGGGCTGATGTAATCACACCATCCTAATACCTAGAAGGGGAGGCAGAGAGTCAGCCAGAGGAGATGGGACAATGAAGCGTGTGGTTAGGGTGATGGGAGGAAAAAAAGACTCAAGCTGGCCTTTGCTGGCTTGGAAGGTGGAAGGAGGAGCTGGAGTGAGCCAAGGAATTTGGGCAGCCTCTAGAAGCTGGAAAAGGCAAGAAATGGATTTGCCCCTATTGCCCCGAGAAGGAACACACCTCTGCTGACACCTTGATTTTGGCCCAGTCAGACCCACTTTGGACTTCTGACCACTAGAAACGTTTATAGGGCATTTATAAAAGAATACAGAGGTGATGAGAGGACTATCTGCTCTGCCCTGATCTGAACTTTGGGTCCTTTTTTCAAATTTTGAAATA